GATCAGAGGTCCCCAAACTTGGCAACTTTAAGACTTGTGGACTTCAACTATGCTGGCTGAGGAATTCTGGGGTGTTGAAATCCACAAGTCTTAAAGTTGCCTAATTTGGGGATCCCTCTTGGTAACTGCCTGGATAGATCCTTGCAATTTTCTTATCAATATTTCCGAAGTGGTTTGCCATTGTTGCCCCCTACCTGGGACTGAGACAGAAGGACTGGGTCAAGTCAGCCAGCTGGCTTCGTTGCCTAAGCCACCACTGCACTAACCTGGCTGTCTCTTTTTCCTACTTTCTTATCTGTGCTGGAGGCATTTAAATATGAAATGTTCTATACGTTGTTTTCTCTGATTCGGCAATTATTTTTTGGGAGTGGCATCTAGGCCTCCCTGCCAAAAACTTTCTGATTCCAGGTTCATTTTCCCCAAAGAACCTAACGGTTTGACTGGCTGGATCTTGCAAAGTCCATATTGGATGTGAGGCCTTACCATCCAACAGTGTGGATGGATGGGGAACAAGGTTTGTGGGAAGAGAAGTCAGGTCTACTCACAGGAAGTGCAATATGAAAAGCGGTTGGCATTCTTCTCAGGATGGCTGGATCCACATCTTGAGGCCTGTTGGTGGCTCCCAGCACCATCACCTGAAATGAGTAGATTAAGAGATTAACAGAGTTGGAAGGAACCTAGTGTAGGTCATCTAGTCCAACACCCCACCTCCTATCCAAGCAGGAAATCCTACACCAGGAGTCTTCAAACTTGACAGCTTTAAGACTTGTGGATTTCAACTCCCAGAATTCTTCCTCCAGTCATGTTAGCTGAGGAATTCTGGGAGTTGAAGTCCACAAATCTTAAAGTTGCCAAGTTTGAAGATGCTTGCCCTACACCATTTCTGATAGTTGGCAGTCCAGTCTCTTCTTGAAAGCTTCCAGTGATGAAGCTCCTACAACTTCCAAATCTGTTCCATGGGTTGGTTGTTCTCACTGTCAGAAAATTCCTCCTTATTTCTAGGTTGAATCTCTCCTTGTTCAGTTTCCATCCATTATTCCTTGTCTGGTCTTCAAGTGCCTTGGAAAATAGACCTGACCCCTTCCTCCTCTCTGGGGCAGCCCCTCAAATATTGGAAGCCTGGTCTCCTGTCTCCCCTGGTCCTTCTCTTCCCTAGATTAGCCAGGTCCAGTTCCTGAAACCGTTCTTCATATGTTTTAGTCTCCAGTCCCCTAATCATCCTGCTTGCTCTTCTCTGGACTCTTTAAAGTCTCAACATCTTTTTTATAGTGTGGTGACCAAAAGTGGTCACCACACCACCATGTGTTAACCTTCAAGTCACCATGTAGTTTTATTTGTGATGTGTTAACGTTTCTTTTTTCAGTATGTGGGATGAGCATAATGTGCAAACAAGGGAAATGCACAAGCTCTGATGAAAGAACAAATGATCCATATTTTTAATGCTGGCTTGGACTCAATTTGCATGAATGGATCCAGGTGCCAAGCTTTACCTGGCAGTCAGACGCTGTCTGCAGCCCATCCCAAAGGCTCATGAATTCTGCTTTCATCATAGCTGTGGCTTCATGGTCAGTTCTGGAACGGTTCCTAAGAAAGGCATCTATCAGAAATGGGTAGAATATTAAAATAATAGTTCGACAAAGTTTGAATTACTGCTTTTCTCTAGATATCGGTCTGTTTTGTTCAGCAGCATGCCTTCTCTTTCATCTCATTCTAAAGCAATAGCAGAATGCAGTGGAAATGAGACCCCAAGGTGCTTTTTTCAGGAGGCAACTGGACTTCCTTGTTTTTTTCTTTTGAAGCCTTTTTGCTTCTCATCCAAGAAGCTTCTTCAACTCTGATTGTATGATGGGGAATGGAAGGATTTATACTCCTTGCAGACAGCTGGTCATTTGCATTCTTTGAGAGAGTTGTGGAGGCCACTTGGAGGTTTACCTGTGTCCTCAGGGTCACCTGAGTGGTGCAAATGGCTGTGGAGCTTTCTTGGCTGCAGGATGTTTTTCTACCCTGTGTCCCTTCACAGTTGAAGACAGGCTCAGGCTTTTGGGGATGAGTCTGTGTTGTTGTCTGCACCTCAAACTGAAGTGCAAATGGTTCCTGTAATTTGCATTTTTTTCTAAGAAGGCTCCACAGCCATTTGCACTACTCAGGTGACCCCCAGGACACAGATAAACCTCCAAGTGGCCTCAACGACCCTCTAAAAGGATGCAAATGACCAGCTCTCTGCAAGGAGTATAAATCCTAGCATTTCCCCACCATCCAGTCAGAGCTGAAGAAGCTTCTTGGATGAGTTTTTCTTCAAAGAAAAACAAGGAAGTCCACTTGCCTCCTGAAAAAGCACCTTTGGGGCAACCATGACCTGGGTGAATTTGAATCTCCACAGACTTTCAGTGGAAATTAGTTTTTTTTCCCAAAGACTGAACCATTGTTTCTTACATTATGATCATATTCTACCTTCTTTTAAAGGGTGATGACACCAAGGATGACAGAAGACAAAATAATCCACAGGTTTTTTTAAATCTATGATTTAAAAATTCACCCCACTGCCCTTTGGGATCTTTCAGGAAGAATGGAAAAAAAAATAGAATTTTAATAGAATATGATGGATATATTACACAATGGCAGAAGCAATAGGAGGGCCAATCATAAAAAAATGTTGCTAAACTATGAGTGATTTGTTCAAGCTTTTATTAAAAGTCTGATTCCCTACCCACCAATGCTCCATATCACTTCTTTTCAGTTGAAGTGTTCTGTTCTAATAAAATCCTGTTTAATGGAAAGACGTGTGAAAGGACCTAAGCAGAAAACTGTTGAGTCCATGCAGTACCCCAAAGGGTGAATTTTTAAAATCAAAGTCAATAATGAGGAAAGAACATTAAGTTATGGCATGTGATACACAAGAACCACAGACTGGGATCTTACCAGAGGTGGCATTCAGCCAGTTCTGGAGAACCGGTAACGGAAATTTTGAGTAGTTCAGAGAACCGGCAAATACCACCTCTGACTGGCCTGGCAACCCCATCTATTCTCTGCCTCCCGAGTCCCAGCTGATCGGCTGGGTCTTCTTTGGTTGCCCTGCACAGAAGAACGGAGCTGGAAAGCAGGTTAGTGGGGTGGGGAGGGAATGGGGATTTTGGAGTAACCTTCCCCCAGGAATGGGGAATCCTTCCCCTGTCACGCCCACCAAGCCTCGCCCACAGAACCAGTAGTAAATAATTTTGAATCCCACCACTGATCTTACCTATTTCATCGATGAAAATTATGCAGGGTTGGATTTTGATGGCCAGAGAAAAAACGGCTGCTGTAAGTTTCTGTGATTCTCCATACCATTTGTCCATCAAGGTGGGTGCTTGAAGGTTGATGAACCTGCAGTTGGATGCTTGGGCCATGGCTTTGGCAAGAAGAGTCTTGCCACATCCTGGAGGTCCATACAGTAAGACACCTAAATAAAAGGGAAATCCATCAGCCCATATTCAGGTGGTTCCCCTACCACCTGCCTCCTAATGAATCAAAGGTAAGAGCCCTTATTCTGATTCAGGAAAAAGAGTGTGACCCTGCCTTTAGATCAAGGGTCTTCAAACTTGGCAAGTTTAAGACTTGTGGACTTCCAACTCCCAGAATTCCTGAGCTAACGTGACCGGAGGAGGAATTCTGGGAGTTGAAGTCCACAAGTCTTAAAGCTGACAAGTTTGAAGACCCCTCTTTTAGATTTTCCTGTTTCAGGGGAACACCTGTCCCAAGCTTGATATTTGGATGGGGGCCCATTTGAAATGGTCAAATGAAAAAAGCAGGACTAGGGATGACATGATAGCCGTGTTCCCGTATTCACTGTGATATTAAAATTTTTGAACAGCATTTATATCAGCCCTCTCTCTTCTTACTAGATTACAGCATGGCAAAAACAGGAAGGAGCTGTTTGTACCGCTGAATCCTTGCCAAATCTTCGTTCCCATATAGGACTTTGTGCTTAAGTCAGTTTAGTGAATATATTTCAGTATAAAGAGAAGTGTTGACAGATTTTTTTCCCCCACTTAGAAAACAAAATAACATGGAAATTACTTCAGCTGATTTTATATCAAATATGGTCACTTGTTGAAAGGTATAACAAGAATGGAGGAGTTTATACCCTTCCAGATAATCAGTATGACCACTTACCACCTAGCTAACAACTTTCGCCAACATGGGCAATGGATAATATCAACCCTTCAAGGGTTATTAGGAAACAGGTTACACAATATTATCAAATTAGAACACAATCTTGAAAGCTTGGCTGTGTCTTCCCTACCCTCCCTCTTATACACCAGGGTATTAGGATGAGAAAATCGGAGCTTCTTTCTAGTACTTTCTCTATTTCCTGCATTTAAAGCAAGCTTCTGTTTTGTAACCATTTCTCCATACTTTCTCTACAAGTAGGAATGTGAAAAAGATCACTTGAAATCTAGAAAGACTTCTAATGAAAAGAAGGACCAACGCTGACATGATAGCAGTGTGCTAATATCTCAGGGACCGCCACAAAGAAGAGGGAGTCAAGCTATTAGCCAAAGAACCTGAAGGCAGGACAAGAAGCAATGGGTGAAAGCTAATCAAGGAGAAATCCAACCTACAACTAAGGATAAACTTCTGACAGAACCATTAAATCAGTGGTGTGGATGCTCCAACCGTGGAGGTGTCATGCCCCTGTTGGAGTCTGATTCTGAGGGGGAGATTGAGGAGCTGACAGGGAGTGGGAGTGTGGCTCCAGTGGCTGTGGAAGAAATGGGGGAAGGGCACAGTCTGGCTGGGCATTTCAGGGGAAGACCCAAGGCCACCCCCGCTTTATCCTAGGGCATACAGGGAGGAATGGAGAAGGGAGCAATGTGGCTTACGGGAGAGAAAAAGGCCTTGATCCCTTTCATTAGTTGCATCTGGGAGAACAGGATATAAGTGCGGCATTTGCACACAGCTCCTTGCTGGAAGCAAAGCGTGCATTATCTTTGTTGAGGCTTATCTGGGTTTTGGCATCCTCCCAACTGTGGGTGCTGCGTTATCTGTTGGAAGTCTGCAATTTATCATCCTGGCCTGCCGTGTTAATTACTTCACTGTGGTTTGTGTTGGTTTTTTAATTTCTAATTATCTTTACTTTGGGTTCGGACTGCATTTCTTTCCTTTGTAGATTGTTTTTGGAAGAGTTTGATAATCGGACATTGGGGCCCAAGTTGGAGGCATTAAAGGGAATTTATTCTACTTTTGTGACTTTGTTATTTTTGTGTCACACCCCAGGTCATCACAGGAGATCTTCAAGATGAGATTGGACAGGCATTCGTCCGAAATGGTATACGATCTTCTGCTCGAGCAGAAAGTTGGACTAGAAGACCTCCAAGGTCCCTTCCAGCTGTTATTCTGTTCTGTCAGTATTTGAAATAATCAGATGGATCAACACTTCATATTGAATGCTTCAGGATGCAATACAACATACAAAATGAAATATGGAAGTATTTCACTAGTGCTAGTTGACAACTTACAGCCATTTGTTTAATCAACGTTCAAAGTTACCACAGCACTGCAAAGAGTGACTTATGACCAGTTCTCCTACTTATGGCCACTGCAGCATCCCCACAGTCACATGATCAAAACTTCAGATGCTTGTCAAGCAGCCTGTATTTATGATGGCTACAGAAACCTGGAGATTGGGTTGGATTGCCATTTGCAACCTTCCTAGGGAGCTTCTGATGAACAGAAAACAATGGCGGAAGCCGGATGTGCTTCATGATCTCATGATTCAGTTAACAACTATGGCAAATGGTCATAAAATGGGGCATGGCTAAATTAAGAACTGCCTTGCTTAGCAACTGAAATGTTGGGCTCAGTTTGGATTTTAAGTTTAAGGACTATGTCATGCCCCTGTTGGAATCTGATTCTGAGGGGGAGGTCGAGCAGCTGACAGGGAGTGGGAGTGTGGCTCTGGTGGATGTGGAGGAAACTGGGGAAGGGCACTCTCCAGCTGGGCATTCAGAGGAAGACCCAGGCCTACCCCCTCTTCATCCTAGGGCATTCAGGGAGGAACGGAGAAGAGAACAACGTGGGTTTCATGGCTTATGGGGGAAGAAGGGCCCTGATCCCCTTCCTTAGCTGCAGCTGAGAAAACTGTTTAAAAAGGTAAACTACGCACAGCAAAGTTGCTGGAAGCAAAGCGTGAATTATCTTTGTCAAAGTCTTATCTGGGTTCTGGCATCCTCCTAACTGTGTGTGTTTCATTATCTTTTGGAAGTCTGCAATTCCTTATCCTGCCCTGTCTCGTTAATTGCTGCAGTGTGGTTTGTGTTGATTTTATTTATAATCTATATGTACTTTGGGTTTGGACTGAATTTCTTCCCTTTAAAGACTGTTCTTGGGAGAGTTTTTTCTCCAGCTGATGATAACTGGACATTGGGGGCCAAGTTTGAGGCATTAAAGGGACTTTACCTACTTTTGGGACTTTTTTGCTTTTATGCCATCACAGACTACCTGTATGTGGGGCTTTCCTAAATGCTTCTATGTATTTGGCTATTGACATCAATAGACCACAAAATAAAAATTACATGGACACGGGATAAAGTGAGGCAGAAGCTGGAGGGTGGGGCCTGAAATGACTCATTTGCCTCTGGATTCTAAAATGGAAGACATGCCAAGGATACCTTTTGGGGGCTGGCAGAGCTTGGAGTGCTCGAACAAGCGTGTCTGTTGCAAAGGTAAGATTACGGCGTCTCGAAGTTCACTGACCAGCTCGTCTAAGCCTGCAACATCGTTCCAAGTGACCTGAAAATGGGATAAATTTTTTGGAGGGCTGAAATAAGAAAGAGGTTCTAAACCATTTAGTAAGAGCAGCTAGCTTCCAAAGCTGGCCAAGTCCAAATTTTGGACTTCAGATGGACCCTCAGTTCTGCTCACGCTCCTTCCTTCTCTCTGCCCTTGACTTTTTCTCGCCCTGAATATTTAAATCTGAGTTGAGGGCTACCTCAATGGGAAAGTCTGGTTTAGAGTAAGTAAAGGCAATCTTATTGTTGATAATAGTTAATTACTCTTCAAATCACTTTCCGTTTGATAGATACAGTATTCATACACTCTCTGAATAATAGGTCACTTTGCTATTTCCAGGCCCACCCCGCAGGCCAGATATAAGCACCCCCTGGGCCAGATCCGACCCACAGGCCTTGACTTTGATACCCCTGGACTAGATGACCTACACGGACCGTTCCGACTCTATCAATCCGTTGATCTCCTTTAAGCAGACATTTCATGCTGTTGCCACCATCTCTTTTGAGTTTGCTCAGTGGCCAACCCAGGGCCAAATCGCTCTTCCCAGTTGTCCAGCTTAGTGCAGAGAGAATCTCAAGTCACAGTTGAGGGTGGGACAAGGGAAGCAGCAACTCTCCTTCTTACCTTTATGTCCCTGGGAACCACCAAATGAGCAACAATGTTCATCTCGTGCTCCGTCAGCTTCAGCTTTTCTATTCCAATCTGCTTCATCAGGTCTTCTGCCTGTCCGAAAAAAATCAAAAAGGGCAGGGGTGTTAAAACTCCAGGCCCACAGGGTGCTTAGATTGGGCCTGTGGGGCCACCCTGGAAACAGCGAAGGACTGGCTTGCAGTGCCTCTGCCAGCAAAAAGGGAGCTCAGGAGGATCACAGCCTACTTGCGCTCCGTTTTCACTGGCCGAGGACTGCAGAAGGCTGTTGCAGCAGAAAACGGAGCTCGGGAGCCCATTTTCATTGGCAGTAATTCGGGTGACGTTGAGCTGGCCACGTTCACCCTGGCCATGCTTTCCTGCCCTCCCCCCCCCGAGGTCAAACACAACCCTGATGTGGCCCTCAATGAAATTGAGTTTGACACCCCTAAAAAAGTGGGGGATTAATTTCAAGGTTGAAACCTGTTTAGCTTGACGTGGCATTTTCGATTTAACGAGCTATAGCTGCTTGACTGGTACTTACTATATTCAGCACAGGTGCCCAGTACAGGTTCAGAAAAGGACTGTGGGTCTTCATAATAATGAACACAAAATAGATGTGATCGAAACCGGTCTAGTCAATTCTACACAGTCACTGAAAAGCAAGCAGCGGCTTTTTCAGCCGCATCAAACAGGCAACAAGAACCGAGCACAATTATTTTGAGGAAATTATCCCACTTATAGTACTTCTAACTGCTGTCAAAAAAGATCTTCATCATTTTTCTTTTTCTTTTCTTATTTTGTTTCTCAGCTATTCACTGTTTACAGAAACTGGAATTTAACCTGACGTCAGTGGTGGGATTCAAATTATTTTACTACTGGTTCTGTGGGCGTGGCTTGGTGGGCGTGGCAGGGGAAGGATACTGCAAAATCTCCAGCCAGAGGTGGGATTTGCCGGTTCTCCAAACTACTCAAAATTTCCGCTACCGGTTCTCCAGAACTGGTCAGAACTTGCTGAATACTACCTCTACCTGACTTGTCTTCAAATATATATATTTTTGGTTCTAAACTCTTGCATTACTTTTTTTTAGGGTGTTTTCCATTTTCAGCCACTTTATGGTGTTTCCTAAACTTTAACCTAATTTTATTATAAGCCAGCAATTGCATTTCATTGATGTCTCATAAGTGTGTGGGCATGAACATATAAATAAAAACTGTAATGAAAGAATGAGGAATTCCATGCACAACATTTGCTTTGGTCCTCTATATAGTAGAGAATATATGTAGCTGTGGATTGACCTGCTGTATTCTTGATGTTCTCTGACTTGGTGGGTTTTTCTTCTAGAACAGTGATCCCCAACCTTTTTTACGCCGCGGCCCGGTACCGGCATCAGCTGGGCGCCGCGGCCCGATACCGGCATCAGCTGGACGCCGCCATCTTTTTTTGATGAAAACGTGCTTCCGGTGAGCTTTCTACCCGGAAAAGCTCACCGGAAGCACTTTTTCATCAAAAAAAGATGGCGGCGCCCAGCAAGCCAGCGGCCCGGTAGGACTTGTTCCACGGACAGGTACCGGTCTGCGGACCGGTGGTTGGGGACCCCTGTTCTAGAATACAATTTACAAGATACAATATAAGATCTACAACAGGAAAGCAAGTCCACATAATAAAATGTATGAATGACCTTGGGGAAAGAGGGGAAGAGTCAAGGAAACAATCAGACATCACAGTCCCTGAATGCAGGGGTCCCCAACCACCGGTCCGCGGACCGGTACCGGTCCGCGGAACAACTCCTACCGGTCCGCGGCTTGTTGGGCGCCGCCATCTTTTTTTCATGAAAAAAAGATGGCGGCGCCAGCTGATGCCGGTACCGGGCCGTGGCGCCCAGCTGATGCCGGTACCGGGCCGCGGCGTCAAAAAGGTTGGGGATCACTGCCTTAATGGTCAGAAAAAGAAACAGGAAGGATCTTCCCTATTGAAGCAAGCATTTAAAAGTTGGAGGTGGGAAATTTGTGCAAGACTTGCAAGATTTTATTCTTATCTTGTTAAAATTTTCTTTAAATAGGCATATGCTTATGTATATGGAAAGAGAGGAGGGGGGAAAGAGTCCAGCTTGTTTTCTTTTTAGTTTGTATCATGTACATTCTGTAAAAATGAGTTTTCCTCACGTTGACCTAATTTGGTTCTAGCCAAATTGCCTGGAAATTTGTGGAATTGTAAGCTCAACACTTCTAAATAGATCAGTCTGGGGGAGGCTATTATAAAAAGCTTACATGCATGGCAGGAAGGCTGTGATAATTATTTCCTGTTCTGTTGTGTTTGATCACCACATCCAGTACTGTATAACACAAATGAGGGATGCCCATATTAGAGAGGTTCTAGCCTGTTTTCTCTTGTGCAGTAAAGGTCAAAACAAATGTTATCTCCTAGCAGGCTATCCATTCATTTCTGAACCCGATTCTTTTGCTAGATCTTGGAAGGGTTGGTAATTCCCTATATTGTTATGCATCATCTCTATGGTTCTGGCTTGAACAAAGCTAAATTTTCTGTTCCCATACATACCAAGTTCCCATTCTCTGTTCCCATACATACCAAGCTCCCACCTTTTCAACTGAGCTTCATCTCAGCTGTCACTACCTATGACTCAATGTAGACCGTAATAGTTGAGTTGGTCCAAAGCAGGGGTCCCCAACCTTGGCCACTTTAAGACTTGTGGACTTCAACTCCCAGAGTTCCTCAGCCAGCTGGGAGTTGAAGCCCACAAGTCTTAAAGTAGTCAAGGTTGGAGACCCCTGGTCCAAACAACCTACTGAAGACCAGTGAATTGGACCAACTCAACTATTACGGTCTACATTGAGTCATAGGCAGTGACAGCTGAGATGAAGCTCAGTTGAAAAGGTGGGAGCTTGGTATGTATTGGAAGAGAGAATGGTGGGACATATTTAGCTTTGTCCGAGCCAGAACCGTAAGGATGCTGTGAGATATTGCATAACAATATAGAAAGGCAACTCAGGGCACAGCAGACAAAAAAGAGTTAAGAAGGACCAGTGATTCTGTTAGGTAAAGGTTCCCCTCGCATATATGTGCTAGACGTTCCCGGCTCTAGGGGGCAGTGCTCATCTCCGTTACAAAGCCAAAGAGCCAGTGTTGTCCAAAGACGTCTCCGTGGTCATGTGGCCGGCATGACTAAACACTGATAAGGCGCCCGGAACACTGTTACCTTCTCACCAAAGGGGTCCCTATTTTTCTACTTGCAGTTTTTAACATGCTTTCGAACTGCTAGGTTGGCAGAAGCTGGGACAAGTAATGGGAGCTCACTCCATGACGCGCCGCTAGGGATTCGAACCGCCGAACCGCCGACCTTTCTGATCGACAAGCTCAGCATCTTAGCCACTGAGACACCATGTCCCTGTGAGTCTGTTAGAACTTGTCAAAAATATTAAGACAAATCATGATTAAACAGTGGCTTTAATTTCACCATGGGAACCCAGCCACAAAGATACTTGTAGTACATACTCTTTTCTTCAACTGCATTCGTTGCTTCTGGGCAGGGTCTAGGGCATCCGAGACCCACTTTATACCGAAGTAGGTGCTGGCGCCAAAGACGGCCACACGTAGTAGAACAAGACAGGCTTCATTCCGTGTTAGGGGGCGAGTCAAGAAGTCCTTGGACAATTCCCCCAGCAAGATCTCCAGAGTGTTCCTAGCTCCCAAACTGGAACCTAAATTAAAATTGCAAAATGGTATGGAGATAGGAGAGGTTAGAATATAAACTCCTGAAGCCATTGCACTAGCAGTTAGTGCTGCTGTTAAATTATTAAATTACTAGCTCGATACCCGTGCTTCGCTACAAAACTATGTGGTCAGGCTTAGTTTTTGGGGAGGAACATAAGGGAGGGAAATTCTGCCTCTGCCTACCAGCATCCATCGGTATTCATCTGGCTAGTGTCCTGTCCATGTGGGAGAGAGTTGAGGGCTGTTTGGAAACTGAAAGAGTATGTGCTGTGTGAACAAGAAGACAGCAAGGAGCCTGGGCGTGGCTTAGCTCAACTGTTCTGTACTAAAGCTGGTTGCTGCTCTGAAACTGAAACTGAAACTCCTCCGCTTGTGTTTTGCCTTTGGAACAGATTTCTTTTCAGGTGGGGAGGGGGAGCAGAACTCCTTAGCATCAGAGCGTGTTAATAATAATAATAATATAGGAAATTCCCTGTGCTCTGATGGTCATTTTGAAAAATCCTTTCTTAGTGAGCACCTAGAAGCCAAGAGAAACATATGTGTCAAATTTCAAGTTTGTAGGCTTTACGGTTCTGGAATTTTGTGATGATGAGTCAATGGTATTTCACTTTTATATATATATAGATGGAATAAAAATCTGTCCACTATAAAATGAGTGCAGGTCTAGAGTACTTTGGATCATGCAATATAGATTCTTCCATTATATCATTGCCAATAATTAACTTAGTCTCATGTTGTAACATAAGGAAAATGAATAGCAGCTCACTGGTAGAGTATGTTATCTGGAAAAAAAATCCAAGATTACACTCTTAGAACTTCCAAATATGATTTGGATTTCCTGCCTAAAAGCTTGCAGGGTTGTAGTCAGTCACTAAAATTGAGCTAGATATAGTTTTCTCCATGTAAGGCAGTCCCAACTGCTTGGGTTCTTACAATTCTCCAAAGTAACAATGTTGGTTTGATATGTAAGAAATACTAAGCCACAAAATAGCCAACCATATTCCAGCTTAATATGTTGAATCAGTTTACATTTCTAATTGCGATTATGTAAAGATTATGCCATCATCATCTTCATCAATATCATCTCAGCAGTCTACGGATGAAATAATATGAGTAAACGAATACAAATAGCAATAGCATTTAGACTTATATACCGCTTCACAGTGCTTTACAGCCCATACGCAGTTTACAGTGTCAACTCATAAAATATTTCTATGGTCTTTTTAGAGTTGCCAACAGATAGGGAGGGGGCAGCAGTGTGGCAGCTTCGAAACCAAAACTGCATTCCATAAACAGTTTTCAAAGATAGTAACTAGGTGACTGAAGTTTCTGCCATGCAAAGATCTAACTGGAGAGCATGATTGATGATTCTTGGCTATGGATGTGTTCCATTGGAGAATATGAATTATGATACACCCGGGGGATGGGAAAAAACCAGGGTCAAGGGTGACAATGAATTATGAGTCGGCTACACCCAGGCAGTGCCAGACACGTTAACTCCCAATAAATCCTTTTGAAGTTTTGGAAGTTTGGCTTGAGACTCATGATTTAATTGGGGTAACTGCCGGAATCCTGACAGTCAGGCTATTGCCCCAACAATCTGGGTCCTCATTTTACTCATCTTGGAAGGATGGAAGGCTGAGTCAACCTTGAGCCAGTCAGGATCGAACTCCAGGCTGTGGGCAGAGTCAGCCTGCAATACTGCACTTTTAATGACTGTGCCACAATGACAAAAATAGCATAGCAATAGCAATAACACTTAGACTTATATACCGCTTCACAGTGCTTTACAGCCCTCTGGAAGTAGTTAACAGAGTCAGTCTATTGCCCCCAACAATGGAAACACAATGTTAAAGGATCCAAACCAAATTATAGTTGTTAGTTGTGACCTATCCAATCTATGGGTCCTCATACACCCTGCTTTCTCAGCACAATGCTATGTGGAGATGTTGATTTATATTACGCTAAAATAATATAAATACGGTATAAATTCTAAAATAGCTCTCCTCACAGAGGATCAGGAAAACTTCAATTAATCCAGAGAAAATGGGCCTGGGGAATCTGATCTCCATCAAGCATCAAACATCAAGCATGGACTTTTGGCTCAAAAAATATAAATGCTGATTTAAATGAATAAGATTAATACTATACTGGGAACACTTTTGAACATATAAAAGATATGTATAAATTTTTTATAATTGCAGCCAAGGCTGGATACTTGACAAGCCCTGTCTTAAAATGGGGTATGAGTACTCTCTGTTCTCTGATTTTGTAATTGACTGTCCCCACTGTGCTATCCATCTTTGAATTTATTTTATCAAAAGGTAGCTTTAAAAAGTTGGGGGACCCTCTCAGCCCAACCCACTCCACAGGGTTGTTGTTTTAGGGCAGAAATCTCCAAACTTGGCAACTTTAAGACTTCTGGACTTCAACTCCCAGAATTCCCCAGCCAGCTGGCTGGAGAATTCTGGGAATTGAAGTCCACAAATCTTAAAGTTGCTAAGTTTGGAGACCCCTGTTTTAGGGGAAAAGGCAGGGGGTGGGCATGTTGGATATGTTCACCAGCTTGAGTTATTTGTAAAAAATAATAAAGGCAGAATACAAATAAATTATAAAATTATAAAATAAATGAAATTATTACATAACTTGTTACATAAATTATTAAATAAAGTAAAAATAAAATAAAATAAATAAATTTCCAATGCTTGTGCCAGAAAACTGTGCTGTTCCCTAAGCTATGTTGTGGCATCGGCTTTAATGGTCTTGCTGGAACCGAAGCTTGCAAAATCAGGGCTTATTCTTTTGCAATAAATAGAGAAGCTGCTTGTGGGTTTATGTTAATTTAGACACACACACACACAATGGTTTGGCATAGTCGGAGAATCCACCTAAGCGGTGTTAACGGGATGCTTCCCCATGTGGCCTCCAAAACAGGGACATCCTCGGAGGATGGGAAGGGAGGATTCGAAGACAAGACATCCTGTTTTAATTGAGATGTCGTGTGTGTGTGTGTGTGTGTGTGTGTGTGTGTGTGTGTGTGTGTGTGCAATCTCGTGGCGAATCGGGAGGGACAGCTTTAAGGCCGATTTTGCCGGGGACCTGCTGTTTTTGGTTCCCAGGGTTATTATTGGCCTTAATTTGTCCCTCCCGGTTCGCAACAAGATTGTAACACAACACACCCGGCAGGAGCACGGGTGGTGCTTCTGTTGCTGACCATGGTACTGAAAAACAAGCAAACAAACGCCGAGACGAGGCCGCAGCTTGCAGCGCCCCACCCCCCCCCCAAAAAAAAAAAGGAAAAAGGGAACGAGACTCACCCATCCGTTGCTCTCGCCGCCTCTCCAGTCGGCTAAACTCCTCGCGTAGAAACAAGAGCCGTGGGGGGGGGGGGGAAACCTTCCTACTTCACTGCTCCCGACTTCTGCGCATGATGATGGGGCTTGAACTCAAACGGCTGGCTGGCCGCCCGTGAATGGAACAACTTAGGTAAGGCTAGAGCTGAGTTTGGCTTTGGGGGTTTTAGCAAGACACTCCGGTTTTAAGAAACAAAATGTCATTGGTTAAAAATCGAAATACAGCCCAGAGATTTAAATCTCCCTCTGTGGACTGCTTATGTGACTGCCCTTGTGTAGAAAAGGCATGGTCTT